AAAAAAAAAAAAAAGGAAAAAAAAATATGTGCACTGTGCAGTTTAGTACGTATATTCAACATTTGTGGCAGCACCATATTCATTTGAAAACACCATAGCTCCCTCCACCTTATTCATCACCATTGTTATTTCCTCCTTCATTCTCCTTACCAACAGTTAAAAATTGCAGTGCTGTCACAACATCGGTTATCAATGGTCGAGTATCGGCTTCTTCTTGCAGGCACATTGCGGCAATAGCCAGCGCTTGGTAAAGCGCTTTTTCCGGATACTTCCCTTCAAGCAACGGATCAGCCATTGTATGGAACTTTTTCTTATCCTTAAACAAAGGTTGTGCCTGCAAAAGTTAAAACAAGAATTTTTTAAGTGAAATCCGAGAATGTTAAAGGCTATGTTTGGTAAAACTAGGTTATGAGTGAGAAGCTGGCTTATAGCTTTATAAGCGATTTTCGGGCTTATAAAAGTGTTTGATAAAATTAGCTAATAAACTAGCTGAAATAAAAAAATTCAACGAGCTTATTTTGAAAAGCTAACTAAAGAAGCTTATGAGATAGGTTCGAGCTTTTTTAAAAAGTTCGCCCAACCAAACGGGACTTATTTAAATACAGGAAGCTTATAAGCTAACAAAATAAGCTATAACGTAGCTTATTCATTTGTCTACCAAACATAGCCTCAAAGGCTAAACGAGACCATATGTTTATGCATTATTAATATTACCCATTCGATTAAGTTCTGCTCCTCACTTGGTTTTGTGTTGTCGATAACTCTTCTACCGGTGATCATTTCTAGAAAAACGACGCCAAAACTGTACACATCGGATTTAGTGGTGAGCTGCCCGGTGGCTGCATATTCGGGCGCGCAGTACCCGTAAGTTCCCATTACTCGTGTCGAAACGTAGTTTTTTACATCGTTATTTGGACATAGCTTTGCTAGCCCGAAATCGGATAGTTTGGGGTTGAAATTTTCGTCTAAGAGTATGTTTGAGGCTTTGAAATCACGGTATACTACCGGAGGATTTGCTGTTTCGTGCAAGTACTCGAGCCCTTTCGCTGCACCTTCTGCGATTTTCATCCGGGTTTCCCAGTCGAGTGGCTTTCTATCCGAGTCTATGTCTGAAACATATAAATTAAAAATCGTAACTTTATCACAAAAAGCTAGTCGAAACACTACGAAATTCGGAAAATATGAAAAATAAGACATACTTACTTAAGAGGTGATTTTCTAAGGAGCCATTGGCCATGTACTCATACACTAATATTCTCTGCTCTCCCTCGGCACAATATCCGATAAGGTTCACGAGATTCGGATGGTGAAGAAGGCTCAACATAAGAACTTCGACGAGAAATTCTCGATTCCCTTGGAAGCCATTTCGGTCGAGTTGCTTCACCGCAACATCCTACGACATGTATAGAAACAGAGGAAAAATCAAATTCTGTTAAAGTCGAAATCGGCAAATTGCTTATGTAACTATATGTTTGAGAAAGAACTTGTAAAGGACAAATGTTTTTGAGTAATTAATTACAATGCTCTTATTCTCCAGGTGGCCCTTGTGCACCCTCCCAAAGCCACCTTCACCGATCAAAGTATCGAGTTTGAAGTTTTGAGTTGCGGCCGATAGCTCGTTAAATGTGAAAATATCGGTTGATATGTTGTTCTTTCCGAGTTTTTCAATCTCGTCGGCCAAATACCTCCTTCTGCTACCTTCTGCAAATCTAAGGATCTGTTAAATAATATTTGGATATGAAAGTTTTCTCCAAACCCGGATTATATATATGATATTTATTGTTGGATATATAAGTTAGATTGCATATCATCGAATGAAGATTTGATAAAAGAGTTTAATCCGAATATAATCCATGTTCGATATTTTTTTTCTCACCGGTCTTCATGGAGATATTGGCAATGGATTCCAAAGGCTTCGTGTCATGGTACTTTCGAGTGCTCTTACTCTTCAAGGACGCTTGACGAGCACTTTCTTCGGTCATGCAACACGAAAAACAGCTCAACATATTCCTTTCTATTTCCTTTTGCTGACAATTTCAACAATCCTTTTAATAACATGCATCTAAAGATATATATCCACATATATATATATATATAGCATTTAAATCGAAAATGAAGATGAAACGCAAACTTTATTCGGGTAGCATTCGAATCCTGAATCTCTTGGAAAGATGAGGGAAAACTTTAGTTCTGAAAAAAACCAAGTCCATTGCTGTCTTTTCAAGAAATTGCTAAAGGATTCGAAGCACTTGGATGATCCGTTTGTTTCTACCTCTCTCTAAGAGCAAAATGTGTTTGTGAAATATAGTTTGACTTGGTCAATTTTTCTAAATATAGCCTATGGTTGGTATTGCTAACAACTACCTTTTTAAGACAAAACGAGTCATAAGCAATGGCCATAAAAGGACACTACGGGCATTGGCATCTTGACTTTCTATGAAAATTGGACGGTTTTGATTTTGATAAGAGATAATTTATTTTTTTAAATTATTTTTTTCTTATAAAATGATGCTTCTAAGTTCTAACAAAATACTTATAACCAAAAAAAATAAAAAAAAAATTAATGATCGTATTAGTTATGAAACTAGTTAAATCATTAGTAAGATGTTTTTTTTTTTTAAAATCATTAGTAAGAGGTTCATCAAACGTTATTGGTTACGCTGACGATATTATCAAACTACTAAAAGAGAAATGCTACAATCTCGTTATGGAACCATTCCTTCGGGATTTGTAACTGTTAAATCATTATGTAACTGTCGTGGAGTAGAATGTCCCATAATAAAGAATCATGTACATATAAAATACAAAAGATTCGACCCACACGTATGCATACTGATAAGAATATTTGTGGGGATTATATTATCTCATATTAATTTTTGGTTAAATATTAGATAAATAATAGTTTATCCCATCCAATCCCATTAAGTCCAACCACATGAATCCAAACAAAGACAAAAAAAAAAAAAAAAAAAAAAAAAAAAAAAAAAAAAAAAGTTCAGATTCACAATAAAATGTTGTACACGTATCCTATTTAAAAAAGAGGAAGTAGGGCTCAAAAAATTCACACAATTGCGAAAGTTAGTTGAATATAGCAATGGAAAATGAAAGAAACAAACAGGAAAAGGTATTTAATCTATTATTAAATGCGTCATCTCTTATTAATTTTTTTGGGCCACATTTGTGATGACTCTTGTCGAAAATATATATGTAGATTTGGTGGGAAAAATAAATCTCACAGTATTGACTTTACCACTAATCTTCATCTTCAATTTAGAAAAAGAAAAAAAAA